AATAAGGACCAGTATATAAAGTGATCAACACAATTAATTGATTTTTGAAATATATATACAGAGCCAAAAAGTCTTTGTGTATTCAAAAAATATCTAATTTGTTTGTGTGCGCGGGGTGCGGTGTACGGTGCAGGGGGGACCCTGCCTCCACCGTTGCTGGAGCTTGCATGTATGGAGCATTGCGAATATAAAATATCTACATTAGTAAATTAATAAAGTCATAATTGATAGACCGTTACGGTATCTATATATATTCGGATGAAAATAAGTATCGCAGTAAGGACGAGTATATAAAGTGATCAACATAATTAATTGATTTTTGGAATATATTCAGAGCCAAAAAGTCTTTGTGTATACCAAAAATTTAGCCGTTCGGAGCCATTCAGTCACGAATTATTAGTAAAAAAAGTGTCGAGTATATCGTACTATCGACGAATATATATGGCCGCATCGCAAAATAGAATGCGACGTTGCCATACCGCCTGAGATATACGCGATAGAGGTCAAGTTATTCAGTGCAAAAGGTGGAATCAGCAAGTGTTTAGGTTGTGGCGTGATCAACAAAGTGCCCAAAGAGGTGTTTATATATATACAATATAATATATTTTACTATGGAATACAAAACACATAAACTTAAGAGCTTCCGAGCAAAGCTCTGGTGGGCCACAGGTCTTAAAAATGTATTTCTATATAGATCTTGCAGCTTGCAGATAGCTACACGTTATGGTTTAAAATACCAGAGAGGTCGGTACACATTTCACTTAAATATACATATAACTATAATAAGAAAAAACGACTAAATTCATTTCTTATAGTGTACTTAAAAGCATTCTCGTCTACATAATTGCAGATATTCGACATAACCAAATTGTTCGAAAGCAAACACGTTTTGCAATTTTAAGGCATGGAATAAAAGCACGATTCGTGGAATGAGTGACCAGATAACCGAATATAAGTTATGCCATTTCAATGTTATTTGTATTTCTTGATTCGTGGGAAGTCGTAGTATACGAGTAAATTGTTGAATAATATTAAAAACTTAAATTATTAATATAAACATCAATTATGAATAATAGAAATAACAATAGAGCAACTAAATTAGTCCCAGTTTCCTTTATATTTTGAAACAGTCGAAGCATTTGAACAAAGTTTGACCCGAAGGGTCGACGTTGATTATATAAATAGCATAGCATATGAACATCTAATATTTTGATATATTTAACATAAGAGAAATATTATCAAACTTGTAGATATTTGAGAGGGTATTATTTTCTATTATGAAAATACAATTATTTTATATTGTGTATTTTTTTATACATTAATTTTGTTTCGATAAACACCCATATGAAGTAAAAGTCTTGAGTTGTAGCAGTACTTACTAATATTGTTATAATGTTTGTGTTTGTTATTTTCATTTTTATATTAACAGTGTTGTTATAACAACAGAGTTTAAGAAATAAATAATAAAAAATTGAAACATGCAAAGTTTAATATGTCTAGTAGGTATTTAGTGGTTTAGTATTCGAAACTTTGATATAATTATTTCTTTTAAAATCATGCTATAATTTTTTAGATGCCTTACATTTTATAAATTATCTTCTAAAATATGTAATTTAATAATATTATAAAACCGCACACCTACATTTCATCAGTAAGCATTTATTAATGAATGAGAACTTATCACAAAATCTCTTACTCTGCAAAGATACCGCGCATAGCAATAAATTAGTCGTAATGTCAAAATACACAAATCAGAAATTGGTAATTTTAATGCATAATTTATTATCTTAGCCTGACGGATGGCCAGGTTTGGATTACTACGGTCAGATTTGAAATAAATATTTGCTCTCCTGTACAAATATTTGTATTAGGGACGTGAATTCGGGCACCGAAGATGAAAGTCACTCACTTATCATTCCGACAAACAGGGGATTTGGATACTGGATTAGATTTATTAGGGCGGAAAAATTATAACCCTATATTTTAAACTGACTTCAAAAAGAAATGGTGGATTTTTATTTCGCGTCGATTTTGTCATGTTTTTGATATACCGTATTTGGTATTGCATTTGTTCTATCATGGTTGTTCTCGAAGTTTCTATTATAGTCATTAATGTGATTAATTAACTGATTTGTGTGAACTTAAACAATATTTAATATGATTTTCTATATAGTGAAAGAAATTATAAGCAATTTACTAAAATTTTCAATAATATTATCGAAATTAGTGGTTTATTCATTAAAACATAACAAAACAGACAAACAGATAGAGTAGCTTATATTTATGATATTGGTATGGATTGGAGATAGTACAGATTACAATTTTATCCACCTTAGTGAGGCCGCTAAAATATTTTTTATCTTTAACATAATAATAGCATAGATAAGTCATAATATCTATGCTAATGTAAACTCTGATCGAGATACGCAATAGTTAAATATTGTTGTTAGAGTTCAGTAACTAACTAGCCGTTAATCATAGTAATATTTGACTAGATAGCTAACAAGTATCTGATATTTTATGAGTGCCTGAGTCGCTCAGACAAGTGACCATTTGAGTATATGGATGATACAATTAATAACGGAGGTAGGCTATGTAAATAGCCGTCTGTGTAGGAACCTCAGTCTTGCCGATTTCATCCGATAGTATCTTAAACTGTTGACGTGTAAGATTAGGCAGTGGCATGACTTATTAGTCCCCCAGAAGTGTAACACATGAGTATTCCATTCAACGGGGGTTACACGATAACGTGATGTCCGTAGTGTTCATGTATATAGACCACGGTTACCATTTATCATTAGGTGAGCCATTAGTATCTGCCTTTTAAATTTCTATACAAAGTATTAACCTAACCTATATCTGTTGAAATATACTCTGTGAAAAGCGTAGAAAGATTCAAATTTCTAGAGGCAATTAAAAGTAGTTAGGCTTTAATATTTTTACTTTATAGAAATGAACCAATCGGTTGTCACACAAACTGTTAACTTTACGTAGTTATTGGCGTAACAGAAACTATGCCCAGTAGTTTATGATCTTAAGATAAACTGAGGATGGTTACAAACCCATATTATCTGATTGAGTTACAAAATTGGAACATTTGTCATAAAGTTGTATAATCCTCGTAAACACATTGTGAGTTTGCTGCGGTCATATATTCATTACATGAGTTTACGCCATGTCGAGGATTTTACGAGCAACCAATCGTTAATCGATCGCAATTATAAGACCGCCTACAATAGAATCCTGTAGTTACTGTGGATTTATACAGATTGCAACAGAAATAATGATTAAACCTTAAAACTCTATCAATTTTACGTCATTTTTCAAGTGCAACATTGAGGAGCATTGGGGGAAATATCTAAGTACACATATTTAATGTTAATATTATAAAAAAATAATAGTTAACTTTTAATTTTCTTATTCAATGTTTTAAATCCCGTTTTATCCCGATTAGAATCTATTTATTATTACTTAATCAAACATGGGACAAGTTTATACCTGGGTTGTCCGTGGTTCGAGAATTTCCTGTTCCTAGAAAAGTGGGTAACGAATGTCACCTATGTGAATACGAGGGAGGCCTTCAGAATTTTATTCTTCTTACGAATTTTCAGGAACGTTATCTATTATATTTTATTTTGTACATGACATGTAAAATATTCTTACTGTATCATTATTAGAGGCTTATATTTAAATCTAAGGTACCTACTTGGCTGGAATACATTTAATCTAATATTATTTCTATTTTTCTTGTATATTCCCAATTCGATTATTCAATGGAACACAAATAGGTTATAGCTATAGGCGAATAAACCTAGGCTAAAAATATAAAAACAATTTCTCGGCATATGTAGTTTGTATATAAATTTTAAACCCTTTTAACTTGACATTGTTTGTAAAATCTGAAAGCTTAGATGACTGAAAATTATTTTATTAATTTATAAGGGATTAGTAGAAATATTTTGTAGGAAATTTTAATATACTTCTTGAAAATACTGTTTTTTTTGTATAGGTAATTAGATTATATTATGACATATTAATAATCACATACAATATAGTTGATATATTGTTAGTTAGTATGTGATGGAGAAAATACCCATATTTTTATGATAAATTTAGTACTTTAGATATAATATTCACAAATCACAAAGCGAGCATCGTATGTCAATCTGCATATGAGCACTATAAAAAAATGAACGTTAAAGTGCTAGTGATCGATCACATGTTATTAAAAGTTTATTTCTAAAGTTATAGAGCGTAGCTAACGTAGCTCGTTGCAAATTTCAAGTTCTCAATAAATTATTATTGATGGGGTATTGATTTATGTCCTTTTGTAAGTTAGGTGTCTACTTATATATAAAGTCGGCAAATTATGTAAAAAATTTACATAGTAAATACCTATACCTATATCTTCTGTTTACTCCCTACTTTGTACAGATGCAATTATCGTGATGGTTTTTCCTGTTTTTTATATTTTAATATTGTTTCTTGTAAACAATATAGATTTCTATAGGTCAAAAATCGTTTTTGAAATCGATCAAATTGTTCAGTTTACGTTTATGAATTACAAACAACAAATCAAGTATTTCCTCTTTAAATTGTTAGATCCGAAGAAGTTTACCTTTATTGCTGAAAAATATTTACTTAATATTTATATACTGTTACGATAGTTAAGAGTTATTGTCCACTGGCGAGGTCATGTGACCTCAACTTCCTCATTGAATACAACGTGCCACAGGGCGAACCTGTAGTAGGTTCGCCCTGTGGCAGCTCTCAGATTAATGTTTGCTTTGTTATTGGTTTTTAATCACAAGTTAGTCTGTCAGTCATACAAAAGGACAGTCAAAGTTTATTGATGACGGCAAGATTTGAACTGATAACCTTCCTATTTAAGTCCGTGTAGTAAACCGTTAGACTACAATGCTCTCAGCTTTGTATCATCATATAACTTTGTAACAAGAGGAAATAATTTATAGAAAAAGGAATAAAAAAATAAAGATTACCTCTTGCGGGAAGATGTGGGGTACAGCGCGTTCGTCAGAACGGCGGCCGAAGCGAAGACGGACGGGAGTGCGCACGTCGCGCAGAGACAACAACTCGTCCATCTCGTCAAGCTAAAACAACAGACCATACCATGTAAATCTTTACAATCGCCCCCGGTAACGTTAGCTTCAGCATAGAGTATTACATTACACAGAGTAAAAACTTTTAATGCATATTACAGTGTACACCTTACAAATGCTCATTATGAAGTTTAGACTTTAGAGTACAACTTACTCATAGAAACAACATCGTATTCATAAAAAATATTAACGCCTAATAAACCTAAAATAAAATAATAATTTCCTTCTGAAACGATTTTGATGAATATTTTTGTTTTAGGTATAATTGCATACAATGTCTTCCCATATAAGGAGGGAATTCAATTTCGCTCCTTTAATATCGGCTTGTTTTTTTAGAATACGGGCAGTGTACATTGAAAAGCATTAAGATATATTGGTATAAGCGTGTTTTATAACATAAAAAATATTTAACATTAACTAGTACGATAGATGTCATAATAGAACAACAGACCTGTTAAATGCGCGATGTTAAAATACATATGTAGTTTTTTACTTTCTGAAAATGTCTTATTATTTTATAAGACAATTTCAGATATATATATTTTATGCATATTTCTTTTTAGTTTTCATTCCACGTTCCATTAGAAAACTGCGACAAATTATTAGAAATCAATAAAAAATAAACAATGCATCACGCAAGTTATATATGTTGGCTTTTGAATAAATATATTAAGACTAGAATAGTATAAATAAATAAGTGTTAAGTTAATAATCTATTATTTTAATGTTATTATTTCCATGCAATCATTTATCCCGCTACATTTTAGTGACAGGTAATCATCAGCGACCTGAATTTACTGTCATTCGTTTATAAACGAGCGAAATTACGTCGAGATGAATTTGTTATCTCCGCCGTATATGATTATGTTTATAAAAAAAGGATAAATCTCATTACGATGACAATGTGTGATGTTGACAAGTCTTTTTCGTTTTGGATTGCATTTATAAGCATTTTTTTTCAGGCGGAGATTTACTAAGTCCTTTGAGTAAATCCTGTCTTATCTATTTCTGCAGTCAAGCTGCTTGCTTTATTTTAGATATGGTAGTAAGGTTACGGTTAGGTGGTATGGATACTCTCAGATATAACAAAGCATGAGAGAGGTCTGTAAGTGGAACTAATAATTTTCTATTCAATAGACTATTAGCTTATTTACCATTATGTAATTGTAAAAAAATTGCATCTTTTTCCAAACAAATTTTAAATAACTTGTTTCTATTTTTATAATTCCTCTATAATATCAGCATTATAATTCAGAAGTTGTTTGGAACTATATAAAGTATTACTGTACAATTATTAGTTCAGGTAGTGTTCATCAGAGAATTAAATTAATTAGAAATATAAATTGACACAAAGTTTTTACAAAGTATTGCTCAGTTTTGAACTGACGAGCTTTGGAATTTTAGACGGGTAGTAAGGTACTAGTATACTATGTTCTTAAAGAAGATTATGTAATAAAATGAGATAAGATAAAGATCTACTAACGGGTGCCTGTGGTGGCATATCGGGGTCCGATCGCCGACCAAACCGGAGTCGTCGAGAGGGTGACCGCACGGACTTGCGGGCTAATGCGTGTCCTCCCAGGGCGTCATGCTGTGCCAGCAAAGCATATAGACCGCCAAGAGCATCCCAACCACTTTGACTCTCTGCTGCTGCTGCTGACGCTGTAAAAAAATATATAAAATTAATTTTTTTATGTAATTGGAATGGCAAATAAATGTTCCCCCACCTACGGGTAAGTGAAAACCATTGCCTTTATACATAGACAGGAATACGGACATCATGTAACCGTGATACCTTTCTAGAGTTGGCATTCCAGAGGACTGTCTTATCCTGTAATTTTACTGACTTACCAGGTGAGCTAGGCAATACCGCATCCTTCAACCTTCACAACTTGCAAAGCAAGCAGCTTGGTGGCTGAAGACAATAGACTGAAGGACCTACGCAGACGGCTTCTACTACTTACCTAACTCCACTCTTTAAGTCAGGAGAAAAAACTGTGGTAGGTAATTATAGGCCTTAAAAAATATTGAGTAAAGTGTTTGAAAAAATATCAATCAAATGCTGAAACACTTTAGAAACAGTCGACAATTTGGTTTCATAAATCAACTCGATGCCGGTGATTAAATATATATTTGATTCTTTATCATCTTCAATAAATTTATTTTTGTCTTTCAAATTATTTTTGAAACATTATTGCTCAAACTTGAACATTTATTAGATATGAAGCACAACGCATGATGAAATCCTCTAAATAATAGAAAGCAAGTTGTCGAAATAAATGGTGTAAAGTTAGTATTAAAATGGGTGTTCCTCATCTATTTTAGGTCCTTTCTTATTTTTAATAAATGATCTTCCTTATATGGTAGAAAAGATATGACATAGTTTATTACTTCATTAGTATTCAAGTCAATCGACATATTGATGATTTGGACGACAGACATTTTTCTTATATTGTGTGGTATGGTTTACGGCTAATAATATGTTACTAAATGCAAATAAAACTAAATGTATCAAATTTACTCTCCCCAATGTAAGGCCGGTAGATTCAAAAATCACGTTCAATAAACCTATTAATTTTGTGGATGATATTATTTCTAGGTATCACATTATTTTTGCATGGGGTTTCATATTACTAAATTAGCGAGTCAACTTAGTTCTGCCGCTTATGCGGTAAAAGAATTAGACAATTAACAGACGTGGCAACGGCTATAATAGTTCTTTAGCTATTTCCATAGCATTATGTCGTATGGTATTTTGTTACAAAAGCAGCTTATAAATACAATATTTATTTTACAAAAGAGGGCCATTCGCTCCATTTATAGCATGGGTTCCGGGAGTCTTTGCAGAGTTTTAAGAATCAAATATCCTCACCGTTGCTTCTCAATATATTTATGAAAATATCATGTATGCCAGGAAGAATATAGACAGTTTCAAAAGAGTTAGTGATTGCACTAATAAAACCTTACGTAACAATAACAAACTGATTTTACCTAAATGTCGTATTCAAAGTTAGTAATTCGTTTTATCGCCTTCGTAAGGAAATTACAAAAAATACCAGAGTCTGTTATAAATCTAGAAAAAAGATTTAAATGTCAAATAAAACAAAAAATCTTTGCAAAAAGCTTATTATAAAATTGAAGAATTCGTTAACGATAATAATGTTTTTGTAGAAAAATTTTAAATACATAGCACTGACAATATTATCTGATTACAAATAATATAATCGATTTCTATGTTGATTGTCATTATTTTATACTGTAATTATTTATATAAAAAAAAAACATCTATTAAAAAGAGCAACACACAAGTTTCTTGCTCATTCTTCTTGTGATGAATCTGCATTCCGATGAAGACGCGACGAATAAAATATGACTATTCAAAAGTGCTTGTAATGAGTTTATTTGAATAAAGATTATTTCTATTTCTATTTCTATTTCTACCTTGTGGAAACCCATAAAAAATGAAAGTGGTGACTAAAATATCAACGTTAACCGAGAAAGACTTTATAAAAGTCGTCTGATTGGACGTCTTGGCTTCATCATCTTCAAAATAAATTTTCTTATTGTCTCTAATTTTTTTTATCACATTATTAGTCACCAAATTTTCACTGATGACCTTTTTAGTCTCTAAAGCGAATTAGTAAACCGTTAGGATATCATTATTTATCTTTCTTATAATAACACGATCATATTATAATATTGTTTATTACATTTTACATTAACTATACTAAAATGGAACAGACATTTTTAAATTGTGTGGTAAGCATTTATTTCATCTACATAGCATGTCCTACGCCAACGTTCAGGATAAGACTCCTTTCACGACTACTCTGAAGGTATTCCTTACTATTTTTATCGTGTTTACCTATCTTTGAAATCCTATAGAAATGTTGAAATTTGGTTAAGGCCTATAATAGTTCTGTAGTGAAAAATTCCATTATCCACAACCTTTCCTAAAATTAATTTCAAAAGAGGTATTTATCTATTGTAAGTTTCCGTAGACTTGGCATTTTAAGAATTGCCCTAATATTTATTGGACAGGAAAATTATATTATTATAACATTTTATCCATCCTTAAAGCCTATGTAATGATACCAATAAAAGTATATTCAAGTAGCTGTTCTCATCGCCTTCGTACTGAAATTAAGAAAATGAGAGTTGTGTACATGTATGTAATATAGCAAATGGAACAACTGATCAGGCAATGCTTATTTTATGGATTTGTTTAAACAAATATTTCAGTTTTCAACATTTTATCAAATATTTTGTTTATAAAAATATAATCATTGTGACATTATTTTGATTATTATTTTATTCTTACGCTCTAATATTTTTCTGTTCGCTATATGAAGACGCGACGGGATAAAAAATTAAATGATCATAATAGAGTAGTAGGATTATACGGTGAGCGAGGATATCGAGGACCAATGAGCAGCCACCCGTAACATGACTGTTCCTGACATCATTGCGACGTTTACGTACACAAAGACGTCTCCGTCTAATGACGTAACTATTTTATAACAAATACTGGTCAACACCCACTTTCGATCACTGTTCATAAATATAATTGTTTTTATTCAAACTTTTATACTTTAACACTTGTTTTTTTTTAATTTTTAAAGAAATTTTGCCATTTTGCGGTACCAACAGTTACCATATTGGCAATTAATGGAAACGAATATTGGACAAATAATTGCTCATGTCATGGAGACTGGGGCGATAATATTGTTTTTTTGTTACTTTATTAACGGCATTAGAATACATTAATAAAAAATTAAATGCCTTTTTTAAGTAGAGAGAGAGTCGCGATTTATTGTATAAATATATTATTTGAATACTTTATTTCCTTAAATTATAAACTAATCTATTGCAAGCCGATATTTGATGATGTAATCTAATACATAAATATATATTATGATGTCTATACCATTTCCAACTACTATTATCAAGTGTAAGCCCTATAACATGAATTTTGTGAAGTTTCTCTAACAATAAAGAGCTCAATAAAGGTGAGATAGAGTACGTATTATATGACGTAACGTCATTCAATTTTACCTTCCTTTCTTATGAGACCTTTCTTCGTTCCAATGACATTAAAAATTCAATCACAATGACGTCTTCAATATCGGTTTTAAAAATTCTACAATATTTTTCTGACATTATTTCACAAACTAAACTTTAGTTAGTTATATCTATTTCTTGAGAATCCTTATCCAGTTGTGAAGTTTGGCTAGTCAGTGAACTATACATACATAATTGATTAAACACGTAGATTTATCGACTGCAATGATATAACCACTAAATACAACTGGATATTATTTTAAATTCGTACATTACCCAATGTGTTAATTTACATGATAGTATTCCTTTCTATTAGCACCGCATACAGTTTCCTATTGAAACGACTTTAAGTAAAAAAGAGATATCCATTCTATTTGATTATATTTTTGAGTGTGCCATAAGAGTAGTGTTTTAACTAACAGTATACATTTAATGAGTTTATTTTAATTTGAATTTGTACCAGATAAATTTTAAAAATAATATTAGATAAGTTTGTAATCTGAGCAAATGTTTGTCTCTTTTTGTATTTATATTTTTAAAGGCATGGCAAACCTCAAAAAATGTCAACCTCCTTTGAGTTTCCATTCTTTACTTTTTTTTTGTTATAAGTAATCCGACGAATAAAATAATTATTTTAGCCATACACATTCTTTTAGTTTGTTTTCTCCTGTCAATACCAATTTCTGATGTCTGTCCGAATGAACATCGTTCGGACATTGTAGTAATAGAGAAAACCAACTATACAGATCAAGTATCAGTTTTTAACCCCGCCGTAAAAACAGAGGTGTTATAAGTTTGATGTCTCTGCGTATATATGGATCTACTTGTAATATAATAGTTCCTAAAACGAAAGACCTATCTTTTTCAAGACCTCTCGAGTTAAGAAAACTCCAATAAATTGTAGCTATGAACCAACTTTTTAAAACTATCATTCACTCATAAAAAACATATAATGGATTCATTGGTTTAGGAGCCATTGTTATTAGTTTTATACGTATTTGTTATTCAAATATAACAAACAGTTTAAACGATAAGATATAGCTGGCAGGCAATTATATTTAACGTTTTTTTTTCGACATAGTAGATTTGACGTTGTTATAAAAAATAAGGAAGTATGTACTCAGTTATTTGTGCCAAATAAATTACAGACATAGATCACTAGTTTTTAATATATCTGTTCTTTGTATTTTTATCTATGTATTATACATATGCATTAAAGTAACCTTTAATGAATATGTATAATACAAAAAATATTAATATGAACTTATATTAAAAATTAAAAAGAATAAAGCGTTGTATGCTTTTAAGTCCAATATATTTAACGAGGCATTAATTTCATCTAATATGAAAAACTTAATATCAAGCTATATATTATAACGTATTAAGTATTAATAGTTACCATTTTTACTTTTTTAGTTACATATTTGAGTGGGCCACTATTTTCGCCACATTGTTCTGTCAGTCAATATTCGATTCTATTGTCTAGTCAGTCTTCATTGTAACTTTTATATAGTCACGTTTTTCATTAAAGAAATATTACAGTTCGGCGCAATACAAATATCGATATATTAACAATGGTGTTTGTATTAATTCCGGACAAT